CGGCCGCTTACCTTAGAAGTTTTACTCAGTTGCTGGTTGCCTTCCAGGCTAGAGGTTTTAATCCTCTTGATAATTTTTAAACGTATTGTAGTGTTCACAGTTCTCTGTACTACATACGGCTTCCTGTTAATATAAAGCCAATCTTCCACGTTTATTATTTTAAAGTTAAATTAGAATTTAGTTTTATTTTTATATTTTTACGTTAGACCACAAGTAGCGGGTCTGTGTATTCCGAAGTACGGAAGTTATTGTAAATAGAGAAAATTAAAGGGTTTTGTATACCCTTCTTGTGTATCCTGTCTACTTCCCACAGTGATTGAACATAGCTTTAGTAAGCTCTCTGTTCCGAGTCAGGTCCTTGCATGTTCCCGAAGAAAGTAATACGGAACATTGAACCTGATAGTGGCGCCCAACGAAGAAGAATAACCATGGCCGAGTTTCAAGAAGAACCTGTGCTGCCTGCAGAAGCGGCTCAGAATCCAGAAATGCCAGCTGCCTCCCTGGAAGGATTTGGTTACATCGTCCAGACCATGCGCGCTTCAATGAAACCAGAAGCAACATTTAATGGAAACTCACCGGTAACCAGTTTTTTGGAAAAATTGGATGACCACTTCATGCTCTACCCCGTGCACGAATTTCAAAAAGTTACCTTAGCTACCAGCGCTTTGAGGGGCCAAGCGCTTAATTGGTTCAAATGTATAGGCAGAAGTCTCTTGAGTCAAGCAGGAAGTCCCACCTATACTTACGAGAATTTCAACACTGCCCTACTAAAAGCCTTCCCTGTTGTAAGGGATCGTGCGAAATTAGAAACGGAACTTTTTAGTATATATCAACAAAGAATCGAAAACCTCTCAAGCTTTATTTTAAGAAAAATTCACGTCTTCAAACTCTTGTATGGAAACCGTCCGGATCCTGAGATAATTCAAGTGATTTTGCCGAGGTTACTGCCCCAAGTGCAAGACTTTATTGAATTAAGAAACCCGACTACACTGGAAAAGTTATTTGAGCTAGCAATCCAGTTTGAAAGTAGAAGAACGGCGGACATTGAAAGAAGACGCCAATATCAACAGCGAAACAATTTGGTGCGCCAGGATTACAGCAAACTCAAGCACACGGCTACGGAAGCAAAGCGAATCAGTGGGCAAGGAAACCCGAGCATTCAAAAACAGCCGGCGAACGTCGACAGTTCAATAGCAATCCAGGAAAAAAGTCTCAAGGCCAGTGGAAAAAGAAGGAAAGCACGGAAATGAAAAATAATTTAAACTAAAACGGATTTCTGCTGACGGGAGGGTGCGGAAATCCGAAGGCCACGAAAACCCCTCTTCCTTCAAGTTAAATACAGTAATGGTGAAAAATTTGACTCTTCCGAAGATTGAAGTGTTGGTGAATAATATCCCAGCCACCGCACTCCAGGATACAGGCGCGCAGTGTTCCTGTGTGGCAGAAGATTTTTTAGGAAGTATATTTTCGGAAATACCGCATATATAATTCGGATAATACGACAGTGTTAGCGGCGCAAGGAGAAAAATATAAGTGTATAGGTAAAATTACCGCTGTATGTCCGTATCAAGGACGAACAAGTAAAGGTGATGTTTTTTATAGTAAAGAATCTGCAAGCACATATAATCTTAGGAATAGATTTTCTTTCAGAGGCACAAGCAACGCTGGATTTTAATGAAGCGTCCCTTAAGCTGACGATGAAACCAGTTCGTGCAGAAAAGGCTGAACCGCCGATGTTAAATCTTGACCACCTGCCTAATGACGAGCAAGGAAGAATCCGACAAGTGGTAAGTGAATTTGCTTCGTTATTTAGTGATATTCCAGGATTTACTCAGGTTACTAACCATAGTATTGACACCGGAGATTCAATGCCAGGTTGCCAAAAAGCATACCGGTATGATAAGAACAAGGAAAAAATTTTAGAATGGCATATCACCGATATGCTACGTAAAAAGATCATAACGCCCATCTCAAGTAGTTATGCTAGCCCGGTGGTTTTATGTAAGAAAAATAATGACTATCCTTTGACACATCCAAAAAGGTGAAGATTCGCAATTGACTACCGTAAATTAAACTCCATAACTAAATATCCGGTATATCTGTTACCTATTATTGAAGAAATTCTAAGGAACATAACATCCACCAAATATATGACGACTTTAGACTTAACGACTGGTTATTTTCAAATAGAGGTTAGGCCTGAGGACGTGCCTAAGACTGCTTTTATAACCAAGTCTGGCACTTATGCATTTTTGCGTATGCCGTTTGGCCTTTCAGGGGACCCGGCAAAATTTCAGCGATGTATGGACATTGTGTTAAGGCCTGTTCTTGGAAAGTCCACATTTATCTATTTAGACGATATTATTATTACTAGTGATAATCTCGACCAACATGTACAGGATTTAAGACAGGTGTTTTCTTTATTAAATGAGGCCGGTCTGAAAGTTAATGTCGAAAAGTTAATGTCGAAAAGTGCAAATTTGCAGCCCTGAATTAAAATATTTAGGTTACAAAATATCTCAGAAAGGAATAGAGACAGACGAATCAAAAATAATCGCTGTACAAAAGTATCCGACTCCAAACACGGCGAAGAAGCTCTCTTCTTTTCTAGGACTTTGTTCATATTATAGGTCCTTTATAAAAAATTTTGCAGCTATTGCTGAACCATTGTTAAAATTAAAAAGGAAAAAGGCAAGATTCTCGTGGACGGCCGAAGCCAATAGTGCTTTCGAAAAATTAAAATAAGCATTAACGCAAGCCCCTGTGTTGAAATTTCCTGAAAAGGATGAGAATTTAGAAATTTCAGCGGATGCTTCGGATTATGCGGTAGGAGCGGTACGTTCGCAAAATCAGCAGCCCGTGGCATTTTTTAGCCGAACTTTAAATCAAACACAAAGAAACTATTCCGCGACCGAGAGAGAGGCACTTGCAGTTCTGTTAGCAGTGCAAAAGTTCCGAGTCTATTTTGGAAAGGCGCCAATAACAGTGTACTCTGATCATGCGGCGGTAACTAGATTGTACTCAGGAAAAAACTTATCCCCAAGGTTAATAAGATGGGCACTCAAGCTACAAGAATATAATCTGGTAATCAAGCATACCCCGGAAAGGAAAATATCGTAGCAGATGCCCTATCCAGAATTAAAATCGATGAAGAAGGTAATACCGTAAAGGTGGCAATGCTCACAGCTTGTACAATAAATTCCCGAGAAACTTTAATAACCGAACTGGGTAAGGATCCTGAGTTTGGAAGCATTTATGAGTATTTAAAGGATCCTGAAAATTTTAGCGACCAAGATATTCTGGCGATAAGAAACATCATTCAACATCATGACATCATGACACTTGGGACATCATGACATTTGGGACGTAGGGTGGCTGGGTAAGCTGTGTGGTGCCATGTTCGGTCAAAAATTCCGTGACTGCAAAGACGGTGTGGCTTGGCGCATTGTCGTGATGGAGCCTTCATGACCCAGCCGATTGCTGGGCGAACACGGTCGATTCGTTTATTGAGTCTTTCAAATGCAGGGGCAAATGTCGCTACTTCAGACTTCTTTCTATTTCTCCCGACTGAAAAGAAAGCAACGAGGGAGCTGAAGAGCATTCCAGACTCTGCATTCTAGGGGGACTTCAGTGATTGGCAGAGTCGCTAGAAACGTTGTGTTGATGCAGAAGGCGTATATCTTGAAAACTATTGAGTCGATGTGTCAAAACTATGAATAAATTTTTAAAAAAGTTCATTCCTACTACTATCCGGACAAACTGTGTACGTTCATAGTACGTTTGAGCTGCAGGCAACTCGAATCCACCATTGACAGCGCAACCATGGAAATGCGCTTCGAGCCACTGTCGAACGACGGCTCCCTCTTTTATATATTTTACACACACGAAATCTTATCTCGTGCTTTCAGGAGCGGCTCAAAACTCACTTCGTCCTCCACGGCATCAGCGCCGGGAAGTAAAACTTAGCGGGCATCGAAACCCTTTACTGTGGGGGACACCGATCAAAAAAACCTGTGTTTCCATTTTATTATATCTCTGCAGGGCACAGTAACGGCAAGTAGGGCCCGAGCTGCAAGAAATTAACACATATTTTACATTACGCAGAAAAGAAATCCTGAAAACGCTCGCGTAAAGAGTTTTTTCAAATTAAGGGACAAACTATCGATATTCAACAGGCTTAAAATCTGGTTTTAGCAAATGCATTCCATAAGCGTTGCTTTGCTGCGAGAAAAATCTCCGCAGCTCATATGAGGTAGTGGACTTTTTAAATTATTACGGTGAGTCTGCGTTTGCGTATCTTGGAAATTACTTACATTTACAGCCAAAGAATAGTCCTTTATTGATTGATGGGATATTCTTGAGAGATTTGTACTCGATGTCTGTAAGCTTGGTTATGTTTCTTGACTATGAATTGTGAAAACAATGGATGAGATTGTTATTAATATTTTGAATAGTAGGTTTATAATATAATGCACGATTTGCGGGGCATTTAATTCTAAGTGCTGGACTAACAATTTAATTTAAGGATAACCTTGTAGAAATATTAGGTATTTTTTGAAAGAAGGACAGATGAAAAATGAGCAATGCCTTCGACGAAACTCGAACCACGGTCCTCTCGAATACGCATCGAGCGTGCTCACCACTACACCACGAAGGCATGCTAAGAAGGCGGGAGAAATACCTTATATAATCCCACTTTTAAAGTGCGACTGGGGATTAGAGGCCTTAATCGCCAAATCTTGGTGGTGGAGGATAGTCGTTAGTTAGGGCACCGCTGTAGAGTCATTAGGTTATTTCGAAACAGGAGAGATGAAAAATGAACAACGCTGTTAAATATTCATCTAAAGTGGCTTTCTCTCGCTAGAGGGCGCCAGAGGTCCCATTAGCGAGAGAAATTAAAACTTTTTGTTTTTTATTCTTTTTTGTAAACAGTAGATTGTTCAGTTTCGAATCCGTCTCATAGACGGATAAATTGTTTTCGTACAGCCATAAGAGAAAAAGAGAGGCTGTACAAGAAAATGTATTTAAATCTTAATTTTTTCCTTTTGAATGTTTTATTTAAATAAAATGTGATATCAAGAAATTCAATTGTGGTTTTTCTGTAAAGAAGATTGCCAGCTAAAACATCCCGTCAGATTCAACAATGCATAAGAACAGGTAAATGAATTTTTGTTCTTTTTTTTTTTTTTTTTAGTATATATAAATAGAACCTGCATACGTCAGCGGATTCTGACAATTTCGATCAACAGTAGTTGATTAATTACGTAATATAATAAAGTTTTTGGCGTCCGCGACAGGACGTGTTGTCCTAAAGAACTAGTTATTTATGCTTTCGAAAATGAAAGTACTTGAAATATGTTTATTTTCTGAAGATGCAGTTTGTTGAATGAAAGCATGTTTATATTTAAGTTGAATAGAAATAAATATTTAGGATTTTCAGCTTAAAATGTATATTATAAGTTTTATGTTTTTGAATAAAAGTAATTTCAACGTAAAACAAATTTATGTGTAAGATTGCAATAAAGGGTTGAGGAAATAAGATTACGTTAGAAGGATTACTTTAAAATTTAAGATAAAATATTTGAGTGGAGTTTAAAGTAAAAATGAATGTTGATATGATAAAGAAAAAACGTGCAACGGCACGCAGTACTTTCACTAGAACGGTTAATGTTCTAAAGAACGAAATTAGTAAAGATGCTCAAGCAGATAAAGCTGTATTAAAAGATAAAATTGTGAAGTTACAAACGATAGCTGCTGAGTTAAAATCTTATGATTCAGAGGTACTAGATTTATTAATGAAGGGCAGTGCCCCTGAAGATGATTTAGAAACCGAAGTTATAAGCTGCGAGGAGTATTCTGATCAATTCATCACAATTCAAAGAAAAGTTAGTGAATTACTAAATGTAAACAAAGTTTCAAATGACGCAGATTTTAGTAATTCTGATGTCAGTAGTAACTCTAATAAATTACCTAAATTGAATATAAAACCTTTTGATGACTTAATTAATTATTTGCCATTTTGGGCAAAAATTAATTAACTCAGAATCAGATACATGAAGATAAAGAATTAGATGATTGTGATAAGTTCCAATATTTGCTATGAGCTGTAGAACCTGGAACTCGTGCTAGGAATTTATTAGAAAGTTACCCGATAACTTCAGAAAATTATTCAAAAGCTTTGAGAGCTTTTCAAGATCGTTATAGGGATAAAGAAATTCTTATCGAAGTGTATGTCAGGGAATTTTTGAAATTAATTACAGCAAATATTCAAGCTACGGGAAAAGACAGATTATCATTATGTGACTTATTTACCAAGGTAGAAGCACATTTAAGGTCTTTAGAATCCATGGGGCTTGATATAGAGAGTAGTTCAGCCTGGCTATACCCCAAGATAGAATCCTGCTTACCTGATGATATTTTAAGAGCATGGCAGAGATGCAATATTAGGGGAAAGGAAGATTCTGATAGTGAAGTGAGTTTTTCGAAGTCGAGTTTAACGATGTTAATGAACTTTTTGAAGAGGGAGGTAGCGGGTGAAGAAAGATTATAGTTAGCCAGGGCAGGCTTTGAAAGTATTTTCTCAAAAGAGAAAGTAAAAGAGAAAATACTGAAAAGGGATAACAAGTACCCTACTGCAGCTGGTTTATTCGATGCTAAAGAAATTTCGTGTTTGTTCTGTCGTAAGTCGCATGAAAGTAAGGACTGCGTAGTTGCCAGATCGTTCTCTCTGGAAGAAAAAATAAAGAAAGTGAGGGAAAAGAACTGTTGTCTGAAATGTTTACGCTTTGGCCACCGTGCCAAAATGTGTAAAGATTTTGTACGCTGTCATGTCTGCTCAAAACCTCATACAGAGCTTTTCTGTCCTGAGATAGGTAAAACGAAAGAAATTAGTGATAAATGTAAACCCCTAGCGAATATCCAGAACCCACTTGCAAATCAGCAGTGTTCAAGAGAAGTTGCTCTTATGACACTAGAAATACTAATTAAGGGTAATAAGAAAATTAAGAAGGTTAGGGCACTATTGGACAGTGGGTCCCAAAGGAGTTATATTTTAAAGAGCACAGCGAAAGAACTTGGTCTTAAGCCTCTCGCTACAGCAACTATTACCCACACGGTATTTGGAGGTGCAGAAATAGAAGCTACATCTCATAGTAAATATAAAATTAAATTAAGTGCACCGGGTAATGGTCACAAATCTGTTATCACAACCGAATTCCTTGACCAAGAAAAGATATGTGGGAACATTCCACGCATTCCAAAGGAGTCTGTTCTAGAAGAGCTTAAGAGACATAGATTATAGGTGTCAGATATTGGTACGGTTTGTCCTGAAATAGAAATTTTAATTGGCAGTGATGTTTATGGCCAACTCCTAGCAGGACGAATCAAGCACCTGAACAATGGTCTAACGGCAATGCAGACAAAACTTGGATGTACAATTTGCGGTGAGTTAGAGAATCCATCCCAAGGTTACGTGAATAGTGGTACAGCTAACGTTGATGACTAATTTATCTCTGAGAGAACTTAGCATTCCAGATTTATGGCGGCTAGAGACAATAGGAATTAATGATCCCACTGAAACGTTGTCTAAGAAGGAAGAAGAGCTAGCCCATGATTTGTTCCTCAAAGAACTTACAAGAAGTGAAGACGGGCGTTACCGTGTTGGTCTTCCATGGACTTGTATTAACTCAAACATTCCTTCAAATAGAAATGAAGCAGAAAGAAGGTTGTTTAGCACTACAAGAAGACTGCAGAAGTTAAGTAAATTTGAAGATTATGACCTAGTCTTTAAAGAATGGAAAAAAAATGTCATACAGGAAGTCTCAAAAAAGGAACTAGAAGAAGTAGGAGGCCATTACTTGTGTTACCATCCAGTTATTAAGCCAGAGAGTGCTACTACGTCTATCAGACCAGTTTTTGACGCCTCGTGCAAAGTTGGAAGAGCACCATCCCTAAATGACTGTCTCTTCAAAGGACCAAACTTGATAGAAGAAATTCCCACTATATTATTGAGATTCCGAGAAAAGGCTATTGCTGTTGTATCCGACATTAGAAGACCCTTCCTCCAAATTGAAGTTAAGGAAGAAGATCGTCGATTTTTGCGATTTTTATCGTGGGAGAAGGAAAATATAATTAAAGTCTGTCAACATAACAGAATATTATTTGGAGCTACTTGTAGCCCTTTTTTACTCAGCGCGGTTATAAGACACCATTTGAACAAGTATCCAAAACAATTCAAAACAGTTACTGACAGACTCTTGAAGTCCTTCTATATTGACAACTGCGTAATCTCCGTAGACACTGCGTCCGAATTAGAAGAAATTATCTCAAAGTCAACTGGAATTACGGCTGAAGCTAAGATGGATTTAAGATTATGGCAGTCCGGGCCGGTAAGAGAAATAAAAAAGTTGTCAACTGAGAACAAGAGTTTGTTTAAAGAAGATCTTATAACTCCAGTTTCGGTTTTGGGGATTAAATGGGATAGAAAGGAGGATTGTTTAATGATCTGCAATAAATTTGACGCTGAAACAGAAAATCCTACTAAACGGAAGTTCTTGTCTATAACACAAGGTATTTACGATCCCATCGGTTTTCTCATCCCATCATTGTTGCCAGCCAAGCTAATGATTCAGGAGGCCTGGTCAGCTAAGTCAGAATGGGATTCTCCGCTTCCAGAGAAGATCCAAAAGGACTTTCAGAAATGGTATAGTGAATTGAAACAATTATCTAACTTGAAGGTAAACAGACGCATAGGTTACGGAAATAAAGAAAAATGGTCTATACATGTTTCTTGCGACGCGAGTCAGAATGCATATGCAACAGTAATTTTCCTGAGCTGTGAAGATAATAATAGGATTTCGGTACAGCTTCTAGGAGCAAAATCTCGACTTGCGCCAAAAGAGACTTTGACAATCCCGAGTCTAGAACTTCTTTCTTGTGTTTTAGGTTCCAGATTAGCAAACTATATTCGTGAAGCTCTGGATATCCCTACAATACCAGTTTATTACTGGACGGACTCCTCAACAGATATAGCGTGGATACGAAGAAATGACCAATGGGGTACTTTTGTGGGTAACAGAATCAGAGAAAAATGCAAACTTCCAGAATCATACCAATGGTATCTTGTCCCAGGTAATCTAAATCCACCTGCCATTTCGTGGTTGTAACCCAAGACATCTTATCGAGACGAGATGGTGGGAGGGACCAAAATGGTTAAAAGACGAAGAAAATAATTGGCCAAATCGGAACAGGTTCCTAATGAAGATTTAGTTATGTCAGAAAGAAAGAAAACTGCAATATCATTATTTACCTGTAAAAAAGTAAATCAATTAATTAATTATGAGAGAATTTCGAAATTTTACAGATTTGTAAATATTATTTGTTGGATGAAAAGATTCATATCCAAATGTAGAAATAGAAATTATTTTTCCCATTTGAGCTCTCGATCGAAGAAAAGAAAGAGGCAGAGAAGTTCCTTTGGTCAAGAATTCAGTTAGAAAATTTTGGTGATGTCTCAGGTTCTGTCAAAGGTCTTGTTGTTGTGAAAGATCAAAATAACATAATACGAGTGAAAACCAAGTTGTTAGAACGTGATGAGGAAGTTTCGTTCAAATATCGAATTTTGTTGCCATCAAAACATCACGTAGTAAATTGTTTAATACCAGACTGCCATTTAAAGAATTGCCATGCTGGTCTCCAGACTGTTGGTTCCATCCTGCGAGAAACATTTTGGATTATTTCTGCTGAACGGCTTATTCGCAGAGTAAAAAATCTTTTTCTAAGAACAATTGGTAGATCATCACTTAATTTAAGACCTTTCAACGATATTAAGTTGAAGCTGTAACGAATAATCGACCTCTTACATATATTTCAGAAGAATCTGATAAATTTATTCCTTTGACTCCATCATCTTTTATTCAAGACATCCAAGAAATTGGGATACCTGATCTAGAGAAAATTAATTTCCAGAAACTTCAAAAAAGATACCGGAAATCCCAAAATATAAAAGATCAATTGAGAAATAGATTTCGAAAAGAATATTTGGCAAATCTCGTTCAAAAATCAAGAGAAAAGGCTCAAGTGATCCAGACGGGTGATGTAGTAATAATTGAACTAGACAACCGAAAGAGACTAAACTGGCCAATAGGCAAAGTCACAAAATCGTTTCCAAGTAGAGATGATTGCACACGTGTGGCAGAGGTAAAAACCTCTTCAGGAACTTTTGTACGAGCGATTCGTAAACTTTGCCATTTGGAGATATCTAAGAACGACGACCCAGTAATCCAGCTGATGAACTGTATGAACACCTTTTACAACTCAATTTTAGAACTTTAACATTTTTGGCTTTTTTTGGCTTGAAATTTTCATTGATATTAGTTTTATTTCATTCTATTATTTTTGAATAATGATGTAAATTTAATTTTAATGTTTAATTTCTGGCTTCCACCATAAATTAAAGGTGGGAGTATGTTAAATGTTCATCTAAAGCGGCTTTCTCCCGCTAGAGGGCGCCAGAGGTCCCATTAGTGAGAGAAATTAAAACTTATTTTTTTTTTTAATTCTTTTTTGTAAACAGTAGATAGTTCGGTTTCGAATCCATGTGATAGACGGATAAATTGTTTTCGTACAGTCATAAGAAAAAATGAGAGGCTGTACAAGAAAATGTATTTAAATCTTAATTTTTTCCTTTTGAATGTTTCATGTAAATAAAATGTGATGTCAAGAAATTCAATTGTGGTTTTTCTGTAAAGAAGACTGCCAGCTGAAACATCCCGTCAGATTCAACAATGCATAAGAACAGGTAAATGAATTTTTGTTCTTGTTCTTTTTTAGTGTATATAAATAGAACCTGCATACGTCAGTGGATTCTGACAACTTCGATCAACGGTAGTTGATTAATTACGTAATAAACGCCTTCGCCAGGACCGGAGCCAAGGGCCTCTCGAATACGCGCCGAGCGTGCTGACCACTACACTACGAAGGTATGCTGAGGGCGGGAGAAATACCTTATATAATCCCTTATAAAGGGCGACTGGAGATTAGGGTACTCTATCGCCAGATCTTGGGGAGGGAGAATTATCATCGATCACCCTTATAATTCTGGCGACACTGTGGAGACATTAGGTATTTTTTGAAAGCAGGGGAGATGAAAAATGATCAATGCTCTCATCGAAACTCGAACCATGGACCTCGTATGAGTGTGTTGACCACTACACCAGGAAGTCATGTTAAGAAGGCGAGAGAAATGCCTTATAACCTTACTAAAAAACCTGACAAATTCTCGCACAAGCGTTAATAATACCAGCGCAGAAGAATCATAAAATAAACATACTATTATTCGTCAAACTGTTAATACAAGTGCGCGTACTTCGTACTTATAATAACATCGACGACTTGCGGTGGTACTTAAGAATAATATTACAATAAATTCAAAGCTAAATAGTAGTGCTGGACTAACAATTTAATTTAAGGCTAGCTAAAACAAAGCTGACTGAACAACCGCGCTCACTTCCCTTGACTTTAAAGTTGCTTTCTGGCGAGGATATGTGAGGGGAAAATGAGAGGTTCAGGAAAGGCACCGAACTTAAAATAATTTGTTATGCAAACTAAGGGAAACCCTACAAAGTGTGATACGAATTTTGTTGTTAAAAACGGCACTTTTCGGTAAAGACACCAAAAGGCTGGTCTATATAATTTTATTATAGAAGTGGAATTGGAAATCACTGTGAAATGAAAAGTAATAGAGATACCTCACATAAAAGCTGGAGGAAAGGAACAGGAATGTGTGAAGATTATCTTTGAGTGAGTGATATAAAATGATTCGAGATAAATATAAAATCAAGAAATAAGAGGTAGATTCATCAGGTATTTTTTGTTAACTAACAAATTTGTATATTTGTCGTCCTTTCCAGAATAGCGAATATACTACAACTCACATAAATTTAATTTTAAGGTTTTTCCTTTTATTATTAGCCCAAAGGGGGTTAGCCTAGATGGGATACTTTAGTCTCGAAACGGCAATTTGCGCCGAATCGCTATAAACGGTTGTATCACTTTTCAAATTGTTGCCACCAAGTATTACCCCCTAATTATATTTAAGGAAATTAGGTATTGACGAATCTGCATGAATGTATGTATATTTCTCTCATTGTGAAAAAACAACTGTACCTAGAGCCATCAAATTTTGAATAACATAGTCCTCCATCCGAATATGGACACCTGTACACGCGAATCTTGAATTTCGAATTTGGTTTATTATGCATTTCGTATTTTGCAAACTTTAATGAAAATCTGATCAAAAAAACTCAACGGTTTCAAAGTGAGCAGTAAAAAGACATTGTACGGAGTAAATTATCTTTATCTCCAGCGCGCGAGAATGTCCAATGGAAATTCTAAAGATAGGCTGTTTTTAAATATTTTTAGCCGAAACGAACATTAGTCCAAATGTTCTCGAAACCTGCATATATGCATAAAAGATAAAAACGTTCCTTTGGTCGGAATAGAAAATCTGAAAGGAATTCAGATTTATTTTTTTTCCGCACTGCTTTATATGCAGGAATATTTAGAGAAACTATAGTTAGAGAAACAACCATGGTTTTAACTATTTTAACCCAGATGTTCTCAACATCTTACAAAATTGTATCAGTCACACAGGCTAAAAACGAAACTCAAACTTGGATGGAAACACTTCTACAGAATATCTCGGTGGCATCTCCTACCTTCAACTGACTCTCTCTCTTGCTGGTTCTTCGCCGCGTTTAGGAGGCAACTAATTGGTTAATCGTAGAGGAATACATGACAGTATGATTTGGATTTTTACTATAATTTCCCCTTTTCATTAACACTCAGCAGGATAAAAACGACATTAAAGAGCATTTAAGACGAGTGTTTTCTATGTTTTAGATTTAGAGCTTCTGACAGAGACCCTCGCAGCTTTAGCTTTAAAACCCAGCACTGCCAGTTAATATTCCGGCATTAAGTACTTGCTAGCCGATGTTAAATCGCTCTGTTAAAATTAGTTAGACCACATTTGTGTAGTCTTAAGTTACGATCCTTTTTTAAAAATTGTAAATTCAACTTTATGATATTGTTGCGAAGTATCCTGCTGCGGTAAGATAGCTTTCCCGTAAAGAGGATTTAGGGTTGCCAAAAATGGCAAGGAAAGGCAGGGTTGCCACAGTTGGCGTGAGATCGCCCATCTGCCACCATTTAAGGACAAAAATCGGCGATATGCCATAGACTGAGAGAGAACATTTCAGAACCAATTCTTATTGGTTTCCCCGAGAATATTCTGAAAGGCAGGACAGAAGCTATAAATATCCTGCCTTTGCGCGGCGTAGAGTAGTATCGAGTTTATCGTGAAGAGTATCTTCAGTGTGTTGAGTTCAGTAGTAGTGCTCTGAGTTCAGTAGTAGTGCTCTGAGTTCAGTGATTAGCTTGAGAGGGATCGAGCGAGTCGGGAGCTGAACTTTAGTGCTTTGTCGTTAAGCTGTCTTCACCGTTATAGCCTGATACCCTAAAGGCTGTGTTGCGGATTGTTTCAGCGTGTTTATCGTAGATTTTCGACGACTGTAACGCGTCTTTGGAACGGTGCTGTGTGATACTAACGAATTAATTGCGTTTTGATTTTTCAAGCGTTGACATCAACTACTTCAAATCCACCAATCCGTAGAACGCACCAATATTTTAATATCAATTCGTTATTTTATATTTTAATTTATGAGTAGATTCAAAAGTTGGGCTTTCTGTGCTGTTTAAGCTTAAATAAATTGTTTATTTAAAACCTTCATAAGACTTTATTGTACATTTTCAAGCGAAACGATAATTTGCTTTTGAATCTAATAGGGTTTGAAAGACTTTGAATTAATATTACATAATTTAGACCTTACAAGTTATAGAAGGGATAAGAAAATAAAAGGGTTCAAACTACAGACACTAAGACATGTGTAAATAAATATATCATAGTCTGAGATAATGATAAATCCAAAAACTAATAGAAAAAATCTGATGCTGACACCGTATGACTTCCTTGTACATAATATTAAATTATAAGCATTTTTTGATGCATTTCACCTAAATTTATTTCCTCGAATTTCATCAGAGATAGATTTCTCATTCAATTAATTCAATTCTCACTTCGCGGTAAGGCAAAAATGAATGAAACATC